TTCTTTCTTTCTTTCTTTCTTTCTTTCTTTCTTTCTTTCTTTCTTTCTTTCTTTCTTTCTTTCTTTCTTTCTTTCTTTCTTTCTTTCTTTCTTTCTTTCAAGAGTTTCCACCTAAAACCTGAGTAAAAAGATTCTAAAACAGAGCTAAAAACAGTTCCTACTTGTCTCTTTCAAGTTAGCAGAAGCCTGCGTGTTTGAGCTACTATGGCAGGTTCCTGGCATGCATGCTCGACCAGAAATGGCATTCTTCATGGGTCTTGTAGGGTTACAGGGCAGGCTGTTGGCCAGGAAGCCTAAGCCCCTTTGTGTGGCCTCTCCAGAAGGCCAACTCTGACTTGTTCACATTGTGACAGTCAACAAAGCGAGAACAAAAGCTGCTAAGATCCTTGAAATCTGGGCCTAGAAACGTATCATTTTGTCACATTTTGTCGGTCAAAGGAATCACAGGCCAAACAGAACTCAGGGGATGGAGAACTAGATCTCAGCTCTGGTTGGGAAGTGTTGCAAAGATCCCACTGCTACCACCACCCTTCTTTCCTGGTTGTCCTCTCTCGGCAGAAGAACACAGTCTCCATTCGCAAAGGCCCTGTTGTGGGTCCACATTTGATGAGTGCGGCAGTGAGGATGCCGTCACATCAAGCTCCTCTTCTACTCTCTTCAGCTCTCTTGAGGACAAAGAAGGGTAGGAAGTCCCAGGTGACAGGGATGGCTCTATCGTAGAGTGGAAGAGGTGAGTGAGTGTGAGTGTGTGTGAGTGTGTGTATGTGTGAGTATGTGTGTGCATGTGTACATACACATGTGCATGTGTGCATGTGTGTGTGTGTGTGTGTGTGTCTGTCTGTCTGATATAGGAGTGAAATGTACCACCTTTTGGTTATCCTTTTTGTCAGATGTGCCTATAGTTGCCTTCTTTTGCCTTTTGAGTGTGTGTGTATGTGTGTGTGTGTGTGTGTGTGTGTGTGTGTTTTGTGTTTTGTGTTTTTTTTCTAATTACAAATTTTTTACTACTGGCTGATATTAAAGTTATATTATTACTTATTATTTCTGTATAGAGAGTGCATGCTCCTTGTACAAAAGTAAAAAGACACAATGTGATGAGACCATAAAGAGTGGGTCCCCCAGCCCTCCCTCCAATTATCTCAGGCTCCCCATGTGCCTGCAGTAAGCCACAGCCTCTGTGGGCTCCAAACCCCAGTTTCTTACCACAACCAGGGCCTCACGTCCTACATGGAAGCTTCATCTCCTCAGAGTTGGGGAAACGACTCAGGGGATGAGACACAGAGAGACAGGCAGTGTCGGCAAGGAAGGGTGGGAGAAGGGATGGAGGAGCAGCAGAGAGAAGCCAGCGCTCCTGTGAGCTCATCTCAACAACCTATGACAACAAGTGACAACCCATGACTTTTGCCACCATCTACTTGCTAGAGGAGAGTCATTAGGTATGGTCACACTCAAGGGGAGGTTCTGTGCAAATGGTGAACGCCCAGAGGTGGCACCTTTGGGGGGCCACTTTAGACACTGCCTGCCACCATCCCTTCTACTGTGTGTTGTAGCGTGGGTCTGTTGGACACGAGGTTTCTCAATTTCCATTTGTCTAAACAACTTTTCATTTAACTTCCAGTTCTGAAGGATGTTTCCCTAGGTAGGAATTCCAACTTAGTAGTTTGTTTCCTTTCGATGGCATTCCATTGTCTTCTGGCTTCCAGATGTGTGGGAAAGCTTGTCTTTGAAGAAAATGAGCTTTCTTGCTCTGACTTCTTTGAAGATGTTCTTGTTGGTTTGGAGCAGCCTGTCCCTGAGGCTGCTTCTCGAGCTTAGCCTCCTTGCCATGTGCAAGTTTATTTTTTAAATCGATGGTAAGACATCTTTTTTTTTTTTATTGCTTTTAGCAATTAACTTCTAAAATATCACCTCTACTCCATTATGTCTTTATTCTCTTCTGGACCTCAATTTCCACATCTCCCTGTTCCTCCTGTCTGCTTTTATTGTTTTTCCTTTGTCTGCTCTTCCAATTCATTTATTCTCTTCTCTGTCACATCCAACCTGTTGTTAACCCTATCAGCTGATCTCTTAATGTTAGCTATTGCTTTATTTTTTTAATTCTTTCTCTTACTGTGTATACGTGTGTGTGTGTGTGTGTGTGTGTGTGTGTGTGTGTGTGTGCATGAGCATGTGCATGTGTGGAGTGGCCAAGGGTCAATGTCTTCTTTAGTTACTCCACCTTTTAAAAAACAATTCTGTTATTTGATGTGTATGGGGGTTTTGCCTGTAGGTCTGTCTGTGCACCACATTCATGTCTGGTGCCCACAGAGGCCAGAAGAGGGTGTTGGATCCTCTGGAACTGGAGTTACAGTGGTGAGCCACTATGTGGTGCTGTCAACTGAACGTGGGTCCTCTTGAAGAGCCCACTGGTTTGGCTAACCTGGCTGATTATCGAGTGCCTGGCTTCTGTATGGGTTCTGGAGAGTCAAACTCAGATCCCATATTTGTACAGCAAATCCTTTATAGACTAAACTATCTCTTCCCCCGCGTTCTTTACTTTTAGAATGTCTGTTTTTTCTTCGGGGTAGTTTACTGGTTCCTTATATAGTCTTATCTCGCTTTCAAATGTGAGGTGCTCATCATATATATTTCAGGGTTCTTGTCTGATAATTCCAAAATCAGGGCTCCACATGGGTAGTTTTTATTTGTCTATTTTTTTCTACACGGTCTCGTGATCCTATCTCTTGAGAGTTGTCTGGTAGGTAACTTTTTGATTAAATGCCAGATAGCATGTGTGAAATACCATAGGAGTTTTGTTTAATGTAACCCTCCTTGTCATAGGATTCTGGATGGTCAGGTCAGCTTGCAGTCTCAGGCTGAAGTGACTCAAATCTAGTCACAAGTCTCCTCTTACTCTTTTAGTGTGACTCTCAAGGGCCCCGCTGAGAGCTGGGATGTTTGATGAGGGCCCTCGATTCGGTATTGCCTCTCTGGCCTGAAGAGCCTGTCAAAGTCTGTGATCAGCTTTTTACGGCCTAATAAGATGTATTTAACATATCAAATTCACCTTGTTCACACATGCAATTCAATAATTTTCGGTGTGTAACCATCGGTTTCAGAACATGTTCATGACCGGGTAAGGCCTCCACCCCACAGAAACCGCAGATCTATTTTCTCTTCTGGGATTTTGTCTTTGGGGCATTTCATACGAGTGGGATCACATGCCTTGTGTGTCCGGCTTCTTCCCCTTAGTGTTACATTCTGAAGCCTCATTCGTGACAGAGAGATGCCATGGGTCGTCAGCAAGGTGTAGCTTTACTTTCTTGAATAAATGCTCTTTAAATCATTATATTTTTGGCTAATTCCCTGAACTTTGAAAATAGTAGGGTTTGACTGTTTCGTCAGTAATCACACTGATTTTTGGAAGGGAAGGGTTGATGGCGACTCTTGTTCTGCTGTTGTGCAATCCTGCCTTGTATTTTTGTGTATTTATACCATGGCTCGCTAATTCACTCACTGGTTATAATAGTTTAAGGAAAACAGATCCTGGTATTGAGAATATGGCTCAGTATGTACAAGCATGACAACTTGAGTTCAGATCCCTATCACCCATGTAAAAAGGTGGTATGGTACACCTGGGAGCTCTCAGTGTGCTTTAGGTTCAGTGAGAGTCTATTGGTGGAGGTCTTAAGGCCACTCCACATCGTTAAGTGGGGGGAGGGGAAGTGTTTATTTTGTGTGGTAACTTACAAGTGAAGGGATAGGTTACAGGGTCAGGGAGAGGTGAGGTGAAGCCCGGCGGCAGCGGCGGCGGCGGCGGCGTTCTCTGGAGAACTCTGCTGGGTCTACCTCCAGCGTCCAGGATCCAGGAACCAAGAGAGCCAGCGTATCCGGATCTCAGGTCTTAAGGGCTCCTGTCTCGGCCCTGCCTTGTAGGCATGACAGTTACTGGAAGCCTCAGTGGGGGTAGTACTTCCAGGTCAAAGCTGTAACAGACACCCACTACAAGAGACTTTGTTTCAAAAATAGGATGGGAGAGCGAGAGCGCGAGCGCGAGCGCGAGAGCGATGCCTGATATTGACGATTGGTTTGTGCATTCATGTGCATGTTTTCTCTTTCTCTCTCTTCCTAACATACACACACACACACACACACACACACACACACACACATACACACACACAATTATACATACAAAATGAGTTCTGTAGAACTTCTTAGGATACAGTCATATCATCTTCAAATGAAGACAGTTTTTGTTTCTTTCTTCCAATACCCATCACACATATTTCTTTTTCTCAACTCATGCATACTATTTAAATTCTCTATTAAGCCACTGAATAATAGTGATGGAAATGGACCTCTTCATAGTCTGGTAAGAGAATAGCTTTTGCATTATGATATCAGTCATTGGAGTGATGCTCTTCATTATGTTAGGAAAGTTGCCTTCAATTCCTGAAAGAATTTGTGCAGGGTTGAAAGTCACTTCTTTCTCATATGTTTGGTGGAATACCTTTCAGATAATGAATTCGATATTCTTGACTAACACAAAGCTGCATTTTCTTGGGCTAGTTTAGATAATTTGTGTTTCTCAAGGACTTTGTTTCTTTCATATGAGTTGTCTAAATTTATTGTTATAAAGCTGATCACCACATCTATTTATTGTCTTTATGTCTGTCAGATCTGTAGTGATGACCCCTTTGTTGTTTTTTTTTTTTCAAGACAGGATTTCTCTGTGTAGCCCTGGCTATTCTGGAACTCTCTCTGTAGACCAGACTTCGAACTTAGAGATCCACCTACCTCTGCCTCCTGAGTGCTGGGATCAAAGGTGTGCACCACCACCTCCTAGCTCTGATGACTCTTTTTAAATGTCTTTTACTTTTTTTTCTCTTTTTAAAATTTTATTTGCTTATTTATTTAGAGACAGGGTTTCACTCTATGGACCAGGGTCGTTTTTTAACTTATAACCCTCCTGCTTCAGCCTCCTAATTGCTAGAATATTAATAATTAATAATTAACTACTTCTTTACCTTTTAAAAAGATAGATTTATATATGTAGTGTGTGTGTGTGTGTGTGTGTGTGTGTGTGTGTGTGTGTGTGAAAATAGTGTGAATTGGTTCCCTCTTCCCCCAATAAGGCCCCCAAGGATTAATGCTATGTAATAATCCTTCTATACACTGTGAAAATGTGTTACTGTCATTGTTAATTAAAAAGCTGATTGGCCAATAGCTAGGCAGGATTTGGGGGGCAGAGAGAGACTGCTGGGAAGAAGAAGTGTAGAGTTGGAAGAGTCTTCAGCCAGATGTAGAAGAAGCAATGTGGGAAGTTCATAGATCAGATAAATGAGCCTCAGGGTAGCACATAAATTAATAGAAATCAGTTAATTTAAGTTGTAAGGGCTGGCTGGAGACAAGCCTAAGCTATTGGCTGAGCATTTATACTTTATAAGTCTCTGAGTGGTAATTTGGGAGTGGCTGCCAGGACACAGAGAAACTCTGTCTACAGTTGAACTCAGGTCACCAGGCTTGGCAGCAATCACTTTACCTACTGACCCACCTCACCATCCTCAGACTCTTTTTTAAAAAATTCAGCATAGGTAAGGTTTTTAAAGTTTTCTTCAGAGTTTTTTTTTTTTTTTTTTTTATCTGCTTATAAGAGTTTTATTAGAGATAAAGGGATAGAGAGTGCACAGGCCTGTGGGAGAGACACGTGCGTGGAGAAGAGGAGGAGAGAGAAGAGAGCTTTTTTTT